ATGGAAGTATGTGTATGATGAGTGATGGAGGCTACCAGGAAGGGATTTGTAACTTGAGGGCAAGAAGTTGGAGGCAGAGATTGAAAATAAAGGAAGGGCTCATTTGTAGAGTGAGGTCCCTGGAAGGAGAAGGGGTGGGAAAGCTGTACAGAGATGGGGAGGTTGGTTGTAGAGAGGCAGACACAGCCTCTTCTGAGAAAGGAATGATGAATGCTTTCCCAGATACATCCAATGGTTCAAAGAAGGGAAAACAGTCTGTTTCGAACCTGTACTTTAAAAGCAGCCATAAGGCCTATGAAGTCCAGTGATTCTATTTCTCTTCTTTCTAGGTATTGAAAACCTCCCCTTTGAACTGCAGAGAAACTTTCAGCTCATGAGGGACCTGGACCAAAGAACAGAGGGTACGTACAGAGTCAGGAGTCCATGTGTATATACTGAGTGTGTGATCATTTCTTTTTTGGTTTGGTGGTCCCATATCATCTGGTCTGATCTGGAGAACTGTAGCTTTCCTCTCTTTTTTCCTTGCATTCCTTAAAAGGAGAGTAATGAAGATCTGCATTTCTATACCAACTTTTCTATAACAAATGGAGTATTGCAACAATGCCTCAAGAATTCAGAGATGCTATGTTCTTTATATCTTTCTCAAGAAGAATTCAACAAACCACAGTCAACTCTAGAATCATTTTTGTTCTCTGTATTCAATATATCTATAGGAAGGTTAGAATCCTTCTACTCCACTAGATTGTTAATGTTACTGTCAAAAAATTCATTGTGACTTTGGACTGCAACTCATGTTGGTAGATAGGAGCTTTGTTGTATGAGAAGTTCTTAAAGAGAAAAAAAAAGAAGGAAAATCAGCCATTAAATTCAGGATCTCTACACTGTATTCTTCAAACTTACAGAAGCACCGGATACCATCTGTGGCCTTCGTTGGATGTTGAGCAAGTTTAGCTTCATTGAGGCATTCACTTGGAGCCTGAGGTTACACTGGAATGTTGGTCTCTTCAAGGTCAAAGATATCTGTTGGAGCTATCCCCGTATATACCCGCTGAAGGATATATAGATCTCATCTTCCATCCTTATGTAGCCATGCTCAGGGATGTAACGAGCTGGTGTTAGAATACCTAAAACTCTGATTTAAGTTACTCTGGATAAGCTTACTCATGAAAAGGTGAACCATCATCTAAAATCCTGGATGTAGGCCCCTGAGAACTGCCTGCCAGATTCCGAGAACCAGCTTGCTTGCTTTACAATACAGTTCCAACTCTTAAGTTGATGCACAGAAAGATCAGTTGGAGATTATCAAACTACTTGCTTTTTCAGCATCCTCCAAGGGCCTCATACAGGTAGGACATAAACATCATGTGTGCATAGTTCTCCCTGTTATCTGTCACTGCACTCTGTTACAGTCATGCTTCTGTCTCTTTCCATCGATATTTTTTGTGAGCCCTACCAAATATTAGGAGGCAGACATCTACAGTCAGTGTCTTTGGACATCACCAGCCTTCCGATATTGAAGTGTTTAGAGCAATATCTAAGAAAACGAAAAAAATATGAGGAGAAATATAAACAAGTTGCAAATGATGAGTAAAATAGGGTGGAAAGTAAGTAGAAGAACTGTTACATAAATGAACTAGGGCCTTATTTTAAATGAAGAGATACAGGTGCACAGACCTGGAAGCCAGCAGCATCAGATGACCCAGCCTGGTTTACTGCACTTGGAGTTGTTGTGGGATATTTTTGAGATAAGAAACCAGCTGACTTTTGAGACAAAACTCATGGTTCACGAAGCAGCAGCAAGCCTTGCAAAGAAACATCTTCAGATATCAACAAAAGTATACTTCATATTAGTGCTGTATATAAAGGATCCCTCATTATGTTTCAATAATTTAAGTTCCAACTCTGGTAGCAATGTTTTCAGCACCCGAAGTCATCTTTAAACAAATATTGTCAATATGTTGTATTACTCGAACACATGGCACAGTACCTGTGAACGTTCAGTACATTTTAGTTCGAAGGTTATGGTCAATGGAAAAGGTCCAAGAACAAGAGGAAGAAGTGTGTTTCACCTAGCCACTCAGGGGCCATTGTGACCAGGCCTCTCTCTGTTGTAGACCTAAAGGCTGAAATTGACAAGTTGGCCACTGAGTATATGAGTAGCGCCCGCAACCTGAGCTCCGAGGAAAAATTGGCCCTTCTCAAACAGATCCAGGAAGCCTATGGCAAGTGCAAGGAATTTGGTGACGACAAGGTGCAGCTTGCCATGCAGACCTATGAGATGGTATGGCCCTGTTCATGGCTCCCCACCTACCTCCTATCTATTCCTTGGGGTCCTAGACCCCTCCTTCAGCTGTGTTGGGATCTGTTTTGGGTCTGGGTGATCCATAGAATCTGCGTTAGCCTATTTTCTTTCATTGGAACCAGACTTTTACCTTTTCCTTCTTCCTTCCCACCCAGGTGGATAAACACATTCGGCGACTAGACACAGACCTGGCCCGATTTGAGGCTGATTTGAAGGAGAAGCAGATTGAGTCAAGTGACTATGACAGCTCTTCCAGCAAAGGCAAAAAGAGTGAGGAGGGGGGCGGGCTCTGAGAGGCGGGGCGAAGATTCAGAGGGAGAAGAAGCCAGCTCTTCAGCTATGAGGGAAGGGCACCAGGTTAGAAAGAGAGGGAAGAAGGAGGACTTAACCCATCTTTCTGTCTCTTTGCCTTCTGGCTTTCCCCTTCTTTCCCAGAAGGCCGGACTCAAAAGGAGAAGAAAGCTGCCCGTGCTCGTTCCAAAGGGAAAAACTCAGATGAAGAAGCCCCCAAGGCTGCTCAGAAGAAGTTAAAACTTGTGCGCACGTGAGTGTATCGGGAGCACTTTGTCAGATGAGACACTCTTCTCTCCCACCATCCACTCCCACTCCACACAGCCCACCCCTTGCCACTTTCTGTCTTCTGTGCCGGTAACTCTACTTATCATTTTGGCATCTGCTGGACAGAGGAGAAGCCCCAAATCACTTGCCCCACCAGGATCTCCTTGGATCACCTCTGAGAGCCTCAAGTTATAGCTTCCCTTCCTGAAGATGACACTTTCTCTTCCTCTTGGCATGCAGAAGTCCTGAGTATGGAATGCCCTCAGTGACCTTTGGCAGTGTCCACCCCTCTGATGTGTTGGATATGCCTGTGGATCCCAACGAACCCACCTATTGCCTTTGTCACCAGGTCTCCTATGGAGAGATGATTGGCTGTGACAACCCTGACGTGAGATCCGTTTTGCCTCAGGATGTGGGGTTCTGGGGGACTTAAAGGGAGAGTGAGAACAAAAGGGGGGAAATGGTTAAATAGTGGGACTTTAGGATAGGAGGAAGGCAGTTGGAGTGTTTGGCCTTGGGACCTCTAAGAATTCTCCGTAGGGACCGGATAGGGAATACTCCTAAGGAATCTAGAGGGCAGAGGCTTCTTTTCTTTCTTCTGCCTCACCCTGGCCCGACTTCTGCTTCTGCCATCTTCTTCCTTTTCTAGTGTTCCATAGAGTGGTTCCACTTTGCCTGTGTGGGGTTGACCACCAAGCCTCGGGGGAAATGGTGAGTGAGAGTTGTGGTAGGAGCTGGACTGTCCCTAAGCTGTACAGCAGAGAGCATTCCCCCTTTCACTCACTTTCCTTCTCCCCTTCTCTATCAGTTCTATTCATTCCTTTGTAGGTTTTGCCCGCGCTGCTCCCAAGAACGGAAGAAGAAATAGATAAGGGCCTTGGATTCCAACACAGTTTCTTCTACATCCCCTGACCTGGGCTAGTGGGGAGAGGAATGCCTGTGCTGGGGCCTGGGGGTTCAGGGAGAAGTGGATGGTGCAGTGTTGTCATCCCTTCTCCTCCCCTCTCCCCACTCCTGGTGCTGAGGCTGCATCCAAATCCTGGTAGGGAGGGGTGCCGCAGCCACTAAGGGTATGTGCTCTCATTCAGCCCACCCCCTTCAGAGGGAAGTGGTCTTGCCCGCTGTCTTTTTGCCTCTATGCTGAGGTTGGTGCTGTATTTCTGAGGGATGATCCTCTTTACTCCCCTTGCTTTGTATTTAAGGACTGGGGCAGTAGCAGGAGGGCACTACCCCAGCCCTCCTAATTCCCCTTTCCCCATGTGTGGGGAGCTACGGTGTAATAAACTTTCATCATTCTCTTCCTGCTTTTTCCATGGTGGGGGCTCCCTCAGCTTATCTGGGCTGTGGCCCTAGTTGAAGGGGCACCCCTTCCCCTGTGCCAAGAGGATTCATCCTGGCCTTGTGAATGGGAGAGGGGGCAAGGTGGAATGCAGATAAGTCACATGTAAAGGAACTTGGGTAGGTGAATAAAAGCTGTACCTGTTGGCCTGCTGTGTTTTTTGTAGAGACACCATTTTAGTATATGTGCTAAGCTTTTTTTTTTTTTTTTTGCATCCTCTGGGTTGGATAAGAGGCGGGAGGATGACATGCCAGAAGTAGGACAAGACATGGAACCAGAAGTGCACCAGAATCCACAACTTCTCAACTTAGGAAGGACAAAGCTGGCTGAGGGATGTGCCTCAGACCAGGGGTTTCCAAAACTTTTAAAAATTGTGCATCTTTTCTCCATAAAACATCTTTCACTTAATTTCCAATAAATGTGTCTTTGTGTTTTATACATGTACTATTATACTAAATATTAGCTTGATTTCTTATTTTAAATACAAAACATAAAAACATGTTTTTTTCCCTTATGCCTGTGGATTGTCTTGTTCACCTCCCACTGGGAAAATACTTGAGTAGACTTAGCCCTTCTTACCTGAGCTCCCCCTCACCCAAACGTTGCTCTTGTTACCCCTTTTGGCTAATTTCTTACCTGGAGGCTTCCCCTCTGGTTCCTACCCAGGTAGGCTCTGACTTTGTTTTGCACATTCCATGTCAGCAGCCCCAGAAACATACCTATGCTCACATCTAGGCTTCACTGCCTATTGAGCAAATGGTCTCTGGAAGTCCCGGTTTCGTCATCTATAAAATGGGCATAATGGTATCCACTCTACGGGATTACCTTAGAAATGAAATAAGGTGATGCACACATAGAACTATTCCATCAAAGGTACTGCGTCAGTGTTAACCTTTGCCATCATCTATCCAGCTGGAATATGACAGGGAGGATCCATAAGCTCCCCGCGTCAGTTTTTGAGGCCCCGCCCCCAGCCCTTTGTGACGTCGGGGCCGCCTATTCTACTCCCCATCTGCTAGCCCGCGCCGCTGGCTCTCTCTGGCTAGGCCCGTTAGAGGCCGCTTTGGTCCAGGAAACGCAAGCGGATAGTCTGGGGCCATGAGGAAGCTCACCGCTGGCTTCCTTCTCTCACTCCTGAAGGGTGAGAGAGTCCCACCTACTCAGTCTCTTCTTCCCCGGACTTGGTCCTCTACCTCCGGAGAATCCTTCCTTTAATGTTTCTGAAACGCTTCTCACGGAGGTCGCATTGGATGTGCTCCCTAGCTTCTGACTGAGCTCCTCCCCTGTCTGCTACGGGCTCGCTTCAATCTCTGCCCCTGTCATCCCCACCGCCCCCGCTCCCTCCCCGGTTTCTAATTTGCAAGGGGCTCCACTGCCCAGTCTGGGTCTGTCCCGGGCCAGAGAAGGTTTTGGAGTTCGGTCCATCCATTCATTTATTCCCCGCCCTGCAGTGTTGTTCCTGCCTCCGTCAACTACCCCAGCCCAGGATTCAATTTCGACCTTCACTCCAGGCAGCCCTCTCTCTCCCACCGAATATGAACGCTTCTTTGCACTGCTGACCCCTACCTGGAAGGCAGAGACGACTTGCCGTCTCCGTGCTACCCACGGCTGCCGGAACCCCACCCTCGTCCAGTTGGACCAATATGAGAATCACGGCTTGGTGCCCGACGGTGAGGGCTCGGCTGATTAGTGGGCAGCCCCGTGCTCACTGGAAACAAGGGAAGGATATGGCTGGCCTCTAACCCTGCGCCCACATTCTCCACTCTCCAGACCCAGGGTGCCCACTGCCCTCTCCAGAAGAGAGCTCTCCCTTGTGTGTTCACCTTCTCCACCCCTGACCCTTCTCAGGCGCTGTTTGCTCCGACCTTCCTTATGCCTCCTGGTTTGAATCCTTCTGCCAGTTTACTCAGTACCGTTGCTCCAACCATGTCTACTATGCCAAGGTAAGGCCCAGGACGAAGGTGGATCCGATGTCACAGGACCCAGTGAGGAGCTGAGGAAGGGTTCCAGGAGGGCCATCCTTAGATCTTCCCTCCTGGCCACTTTGCCAATTATTTACCCAGATTATGTATGAATACAGTCTCACTTTTGGTATTCAGACTGTCATAACAATACTGTTAGTGCAAGAAAAGGAGGGAAGAGGGATGGGAAGAGGCAAAGAGATAAACCTTTTCATTTCTTCTCATGGTCAGTGATTTCATTCAATCAAACACAAAAGACTGATGGCAAGGGTGTGGCCCAAACAGGGAGTTTTATCTTGCAGGGGAACCCTTTCTCAGGTCTAGAGGGTTCCACCAGAGACCATGTCCCTTCATCCCTGTCCAGGAACTGTGAAAGAGAAGGCATGCTGGAAAGGGGACTGAGGAATAAGCTGGAGTAGAAGTCCACCCTTTGAGAAAGGCATTCCCACATTCCTTCTCTTCTTGCAGAGAGTCCGATGCTCCCAGCCAGTCTCAATTCTCTCACCTAACACTCTCAAGGAGATAGACTCTTCTTCTGCTGAAGTTCCACTCACCACGATGACCTCCCCCATGTCAGCCCATATCACAGGTGAGACCCCCCTCCCCAGCACCTGAGAGTAACTCCTTCCACAAATTCCAGAACCCAGGATTTAAGGCATCAGTGGTAGAGAAATGGGAAGAATGTAGAGCGAGGGTGGGAGATGGGGGCAGGCATCCCTTTACATAAGGGAGAGCCTGCTTTTATGAATACAAGTTAGAGCTTTCCTGTCCCAGAATATCTTCTGACATTACTTAACAAGTCTGCAATGAATCCATGTTTCCTAACTCTCCAAAACATTCCGGTGTTCGGAAGCCCTCTGGGACTTTTGTAAGCTAGAAAGGATTTGTTATTCAGAGTATGTGGTGTTTCCTAAGTGAGAGGGACAATAGGTGGTATTTGAGGTCAGAGATAAGGAACAGGAGCACTTGTAAGGGAGGTGGAAAGGTGACATACCACCAATATCACAATCACCATGGTAATACTATTTTGATATCCGTAGTCTTTTCTGTGTCTTTTATACTTGACTGTGCGAATAAGTGTGATTTAGGCTGCTTTCTTCTGCCTTGGTGTTTATTTATGTGTGTCTCTATGAACAAAGACACTTGAGGGACCAGAAAGCTAACCATCCCTTTCCTTTTCTTTCTTGGCCCCTCCCAAACCCTGCTGCAGCCACAGAACGGCAGGCCTTCCAGCCTTGGCCTGAGCGGCTCAACAACAATGTGGAGGAGCTGCTGCAGTCCTCCTTGTCCCTGGGAGGCCAGGAGAAAGGGCCAGAACATAAGCAGAATACAGGGCAGGAGCACAAACAGGAGCAAGGACAAGAACATAAGCAGGATGAAGGGCAGGAGCAAGAGGAGCAGGAGGAGGAACAGGAGGAGGAGGGGAAGCAGGAGGAAGGACAGGGGACAGAGGAGGGACTGGAGGCCATGTCTGAGCTGCAGACTGACTCACAGTCCAAGTTCCAGGCTGAATTTTTATCTTCTAAGCCTTTCTCTTACCCTCCTCGGGTACGGGAAGTGGAGTCTACGCCTATGACGTTGGAGAACATCCAGGAGCTCATTCGATCTGCCCAGGAAATGGATGAAATGAATGATATATATGATGAGGACTCCATCTGGAAAAGCCCAAACTCTGGCGGGTACAGGAAGTTCTGACTCCCCCACCAGTCTTAACCTTCCTGTTGCCTTATTTGGCAACGAGAAGCCCACCTTCCCACCTTTGACCTCCAGATCCACTCAGACCTGGTTGGGCTTCAGGCACACCTAACAATTGCCTGCCTTATTTGTCCTGTGGCCATCACTGGTTTAAGCACTGTCCTAGACACCCATTTTCTACATGGCATATTGGAATGAGCCCTGTACTTGGAGCTACCAGTCTTGGATTCCGGTCTTGGTCTCGTCTCTGGCCTTGATTAACGTTGTGATTTTTAGGAAGTTACTTCTCCTTTCTGGTCCTCAGTTCCTCATATTTAAAAGGAGGCAGTTGCTCCAGAGGACTCTAAGGCTCCATCCAGCATGCTGAATGTGTGTGACCAAGAATAGAGGCTGAGGGAAGGGGAAGGGATTTTCTGCCCCAGCCCTCTGGCCCATCCCCACAAGTCAGTGCTGTCTCATTGCAGCCTCCTGCAGCTGCCCCACGTGGAGGCCTTGCTGGTGATGTGCTATTCCATTATGGAGAACACCTGTACCATGACCCCCACAGCCAGGGCCTGGAAGCACTTGGAGGATGAGGTTCTTGGTTTCGGGAAGACGGTATGCCCACCATGCTGTTTAATGGATACATTCTCACTGGGTATCCTCTGAGCCAGGCACTACTAGGCCTTTGGAGTGAGGGGATGAGCAGGGATACCGCAAACATGAGGCATCCTGGAGAGATTCTCTTCAAGTGGGAATCTTTTCTTTGGAAGGACATCTCCAGCTCACCCTAAAGGAAGAAAGCCCAAGACCTAGTCTGGAATCCATTCCAATCCAGAATCCGTTCTTCGGCTCTCTGAGTTTTTAGGCTTGAGTCATCTCCTCATGCAAGTCACCATCTTCAATACTTGGCTTTGCAGCTCTCCTTTCCACAGGAGTCATAGAACCTATTCCAGGGATCTGTAGAGAGATTCTAGTCTCAGTGTCTCCTCAGCACCCAGCAAGTCCTCTTACCAGGAAAATGTCCTTTAGGTATTCAAATAGCACAAGTTAGCAAACATTTGTCGAGAGCTGGCGTGCCATCTATTTGTTCAACAAATATCGGGCACCAACTCTGTACTAGCTATTGGAGATGTTAGCAATGAGTACAATAGATCCAATCGTCTGGGAGCTCTTGGAGGAAACAGGCAGAACAGCATGACAGGATAAACACTGATGGATAAGTACGAAGTGGAGAGAGAGTGGAAGGGAGGGAGCACAACTGTGTTTGGGAGGATCAGAAAATGCTTCTTAGAGGAACTGATGTTTAAACTGAAACCTGAAGAAAAAAGAAGTTAACCAAGTGAAAGAAGGGGCTTAGTCGAAGGTTCCTGTTAGAGGGGATAGTATGTACAAAGGCTCTGAGACAAGAAAGAAAAGAGGTTTCTTGAGGGATGGAGAATGAGCATATTGCTCCTGTACTTAAAGGGCCTGGAGCCCACAAGGGATTCAGCAGCATTACAAAAGGGGTGTGGTAAGTGTTGGAGAGAGCTTTTTAAGTGTAGGAAGTTCAGGAGCCCACTGGATTTTAGGGCTTGGTTAAGGGAACAACGAGGAGTCCATTTTGCCAAAGCAGTAGGGGATAGAGTCTAGGAGATTGTAAAGGTCTTAATGTGAAAAATCTCAAATGGCAGTCTGAAGCATTTGTGTTTAATTGGGTAGGAAATAGGAATTTAGTAACCATTTTTGGCCACGGACATGACTATGCCTTCCTTTATGGGCTGTTGTATGAAGCAAACAAGGTGACGTAGGAGATTTTGTGCACTGTGGCTGTACCCATGGGGTGGAGAAGGGGGAAGGCGGGATTGACTAGAGATCCTCCTGAGAAGCCTGAGAGCTCAGACAGGGTGGAGAGCCCAGCGAGGAGACGGGTAGCTCCACTCTACCACGTCTTCCAAGAACTCGGAGGTTTGAACCTATGTGCTTAGAGTACAGGTTTTGAGGTTAGAAGGACTGGATCTTGTCTCAGCTTTACCATCTATATATAAGATGTGGTTTTGAGCAAGTTAGCCTCACTAAGCCTGTTTCTTCATCGGTCAAATGGAGAGGTTATTAGTACGTATGCTAGTGTAGGGTTCTTGTGAGTACTGAGATGATAGCGTTTATAGCCATGGTGCCTAGCCCTGTGTCAACTCTTTGTAAATATCAGCATTATTATTAGCACAGAGAGAAAGAGGAGATGGTGGTTGGGAGTCCTATTCAGATAGTCTAAGTTAGGGTAGTTGTAGGTCACCCGATGGTAGATAATCTATCTATCAGGCACTTGGCAGTTGAGGATTTGGAGCATAATAAAGATCTGGATGTCTCTTGCAGAGAGATGAAGAATATCTGGAAGGAGATAAATCATCCAGAAGAGGGTGAAGGAATAGATAGCTGAGGCAAAGTCCTTGAGGAACACTTGCGGTGGGTGGGGGAGGGATAAAAGCCAGAGAAGCTTTCGCAAGAGCCTGAATGCAAAGACATTTTGTGGAGATGGCTCTGAGAGTCTCAGCCTCAGCCTCTTAACCACACTCTTGCCCCAGGTCTGTGACAGCCTTGGGCGGCGCCACACAGCTACCTGTCCCCTCTGTGACTTCTGCTCCCTGAAGCTGGAGCAGTGCCACTCAGAGGCCAACCTGCAGCGGCAGCAGTGTGACAGCTCCCACAAAACACCCTTCATGAGCCCCTTGCTTGCATCTCAGAGCTTGTCCATCGGCATCCAGGTACCTAGCTAGCTGGGCAGCCTACAGTGGGGGAGGCCTCAGGCTCCAGGCAGATATGGGCAGTGGGAGGGAGGCCAGCAGGGGAGCAGGGGTGTGCACCTCTCCCCTGTCCCCTGTGCCACAGACGGGAAACAAACGATCAGGCCACTTTTATGGGCTGGAATTTTACGGCGGGCTCCGCATGGACTTCTGGTGTGCTCGGCTAGCCTCAAAGGGCTGTGAAGATAATCGAGTTGCTGGCTGGCTCCAGACTGAATTCCTTAGCTTCCAGGATGGGGATTTCCCTACCAAGGTCAGAGCCTTTCCCCGAAGCTCAGCCCCGCCCGACTCACCCCACTTCCTTTGGGTTAGTTTCTTTAGGCAGCCCTAGGATGTAGAAGGGGGCTTGGGCTCCTGGCTTCTGAGAACCAGTCCTCACTGCTGAGCCTCCCATCTCTCTCCAGTAGACCCCCCTCACCCTCCCCACACACACATACACAACAGAGCAGGATTGTATTTGGCAAAGAAGTAGGAAATGAGAGGGTTGGGAGAGCACAGGACTAGGGGGCAGGAGACAGAGGTTCTGGTCCTAGCTCTGCCGGTTACCTGCCTGGAAGAGAGGGTTTGGTCAGGTTACTTCTCACTCTGAGCCACAGTTGTACTCATCTCTCCAACACATGACTAGCTGATGCCTGAGGGGCACCAACTCTGTGATCCGAAGCTTCACTGCCTCAGTCTGACAGTCTTCTTCCCGGCTCTTCCAGGGCTTTTTCTGCTCAATGGAATCAGCTTTGCTCCCTCTCTCTCCAAAGTTACCTCCCCTGTGGAGCTACCTGTTGTACCTGAGAGCCAGGCCCCCCTTTCTGGTTTAGCAGGGAAAATCAAGGCGAGGAAAAGTAAGGGCAGCTTAAGAAATGGTTGGTCTCTGAGCTGAGAGGCCCCTGCTTAGATCTTATTCCTGGGCCCCTAGATCTGGAAGGAGTCTCAGAGATTATCTCTGCTCCCTGGATTTATAGGCGGGGAGGCGAGGTCCACAAAGGAAATTGACTCACCCAAGGTCACATGTTAGAGAGTGTTCACCCTCCCCCTCACTTACCTATCACTAGGAGGCTCCATGAGATTGGGCCACCAATTGGGCCCCCTTCCCAGGTTCTGTACCCTTAGGGCCCCACTGCCCCATCGCCATTCCTCAGCCGCTTTCCAAGCAAGCTGACCAGCAGAGCAGCCACTTCCCACCTCTGGCTCCTGGCTTCTCCCTAGTAACCTAGTAACTGAACTACGACTGAGAGAGGGATGGGAAAGGCGGAGGGGACAAAGGCCTAGTCCTCAGAGAGGGGAGCACCCCAGGTATGAAAGGTCTGGTTCTCAAGGGTCACACCTCTTCCCCCGGTTCTGCCAGCGTGGGCAGTCTCTGGAGAGCTGGTGTCTTGTAAGGCTTCTGATATCTTACCTCCCCATCCCTGGCTCCTGGCTTAGATTTGTGACACTGACTTTGTGCAGTACCCGAACTACTGTGCCTTCAAAAGCCAACAGTGTTTGATGAGAAACCGGGATAGGAAGGTGAGCCCCTCACCCTGCCCCCTCCTTCTCCCATAAGCCCCTCAATCACTCAGTTACCTTGGCTGGGTCTGTTCTGAGCCACTGCCACCACCCCCCCTCCCAGCAGCAGGGATGTGGAGAGCAGTTCCCTACTTGTCTCTCAGGACAGAGGCCTCCACCAGAGTGCTCCCTCTCCTCTACTCCTCCAGCCTTGGAGTAAGCAAGGTTCCCCCAGGCTGGAGGGTTCCGGGAGGGATGCTGCAGATGAGAAGTGAGAGCCCTAAAGGCACCACAGGAAGAACCCCATCTGGGTTGGGAATTAGATATTGAGGTCTCACTCTTGCCTCCTGCTATTACTCACCAAATAGTCCGAGATAAGTTACTTCCTTCCCTAGCCTCAGCCTCCTCATTTCTGAAAGGAGGGGGCTGGGCTACTTGGTGTCTCTTGCAGCTTGAAAAACCCGCATCTGAGTTTCCTCCTTCCCTCTCCTGCTCTGTGCCCATGCCCACCCGCCTCTGGTTCTTATGGGATTTCTGATACCTTCCCACCTCCACACCTCTGGCTCCTGGCTCTGTGACACAGACTGTGCGTACCCGATCCCCATGTAGGTGTCCCGTATGAGATGTCTGCAGAACGAGACTTACACTGTCTTGTCCCCAGCCAAAAGCGAGGACCTTGTACTTCGATGGAGCCAGGAGTTTAGCACCTTGACTCTAAGCCAAGCCGGATGAGCTGGGGTTCGTCCTGTCCCCACCCCACCCCAACCTTTCCACATTCTCCATTGCTTTTAGACTCCATTTGTCAATTTGCTTCCAGGCTGCCCCTTTTGGGTCTCTTACCTGACCCCTACTCACATTTTCCTTGGGTTGGGACAGCCGTCCTGGAGAGGTTCATGATGGGAACTCCACTGCCTTAAAGAACGTCTTTGCATAAAGTATTTATTTTCAACCTGTGTGGCCTATTTTGGTTATGATCCCATCCTCAGCACTGCCACAGTGCCCCATGGGAATCCACCCTCCACTCCCCTGGGGCTTACAAATCCATCCGCAGGTAAGAGACCCTCATGGGAATGGCACTTAGGAAAGCAGCCAGCTGCCAGGAGAAGAAGCCCTAAAAAAGTCAGAGTTGGGTCAAAGAAGGCCATAGCTGGTGCAGAGGGATTTTGTGGGCTGTGAGGGCAGACATGTCTTCTTCATCTCTGAAGCCCTAGGCCCCAGGAACTCAGCTGTGAATGTAGAATTGTCCCTCTGGAGGATGAAGGCCAGAGCCTGACTGAGATCATGTCCAGAAGGACCAACCCCGGGGAAAGAGGGCAAGACTTGCACTTTATCAGAAGGGTAGAAACAGCTGGGGACTGGAGCTCAGGAAACTCTAGGTTTGACATCCAATAATGGGCCAGGTGGTCTGAATGTTGAGGTGGTTGCATCTTGACCGCATGCATGGAGATGCGACTCCAGCACTGGCCTTAATGACTTGGGATCTCCCAGAGTGTGTTCTGGGGACATATATTTTTGGGGAACTGTACAGTTTCTCTCTCTCCTATAGATTCACAGTGACTAACAACATAAAAAAAATGGAAAAAATCAAACATTCACGAAAGTAGAAGAGTATAATGCACTCCCATGCACGATCTTCACCCAACTTCGATTATCAACACATGATCAATCTTTTAATGGCATGTTAAAGGCTCTGAGGAGCCCTGTGATAGAGAACCCTGTTTAATCCAATGTTGCCCAAACTCATTTGACCACAATGTCTTTTTTTATGTACCACTCAAAAACTCGAACTTGCTTTTCTGTATTGAGCGTGGACAACATGTCCAGCCCTGTTGATACAGAAGACAAGGGGCTTGGCCTGAGGGTGCAGAGAAGAGGGGCTACATCTAAGCTCTTTGCCCAGCTCCCCAACCCCTGTATCCAGCTCACAACCTTGATAAGAGGCAGAAGTAAGGTGGAAACACCCAACCTGGTAACTGCTGCATTGGAGGGGCCACGTGTACTTTGCAATGTGAGGGAGCCCAGCAGCCGCAGCTGACTGACACACAGAGAGGCCCTGGGCAGAGTGAGGTCTAAGCCATGAGTGGTAAGAGCAAAACTACCTGCAGGGATCTAAAAGAGAGAGACACCCAGGGGGAACTGGTGAGAACAGCCAGAGCCCGGCAGGTTAGTCACCACATCAGTGGCTGGCGTGCCAGTTAGGCTTCCCAGAAACGGTGGGGAGAGTGTGAGCAACGGGCAGGGGGAGTCATTGCTTAGCCAGAGTTGGGGCTGGATTAAGTGCCATTATCTGCTGGGCTTTTTTCTCTGGCGTGTCTGTGAAGAGGCTGAGGGCACTGCTTCCTCCTCTCTCTCCCTGCGCATGTGGGGTTGGGTGAGTGAGAAGAGCTTGAATCTGCTGAGATCTGCCCAGGCGGGTGTGTCCCCACCCTCCCCAGAAGCAGGTCCTTCCAGCCCAGCCCAGCCCAGAGAAGGCAGCGGAAGCCAGCTTGGGGCAGCGGCAGAGCTCAACGCAGAGCCACAGGTACGGGGGTTTCACAGGTGTGCCTGAACCTCATAGGGCACAAGGGGTAGCACCCCTCCTTCAGAAATGGGGGACCTGGGTGGGGAGAGAGGTGAGGGTGGGCCCTAGACCCTGGAAGATCTTTTATTTGTTTGTTTTTTCTTTTTTGTTTTTGTTACTGTGTTTTGTTTTTTGAAAACCTTTTTGAATAGAGTAAAAAGCTAAAAGGTGCTGCCTCAGACTTAAAGACCTTGTCAGACAGAGGACACACCCTGGAGTGCCCCTCTGAAGCTTAAAGCCCCACTCTGGGGCATATTGGGGAGGCTGTGTTCTCCCTTCACCCTTTAGGCCCCTCTGTCATGCTGAACCCTGGGCATCCCAAGGCCACTGAGGTGAGCCCTCTGGGGACGGTCTTTCAATTTTTTCCCACTCTCAGTTAATATTTAACCCCCCACACCCACTCACGTCTCAGGGCCAGGCCCTCTGCTAGATGACAATGAATTTATCCAATTGAGCTCCATGAACATGTTCCCAGACTCAAATGTTCTTTTGGTTATCCTTCCCAGCTAACCAAAGGATATTATTCTAATAGGGTGTTTGAGAAAACACTGCCTTAACCCAATGCGTTCATCTACAGAATAGGATTAGACAAGATGGTCTCTAATGTTCCTATGCTCTGATAGGATGTGGTGACACTCTCGTGAGTGACATGAAGAGGATGAAATTTCACATATTAAGCACAGGTAGGGGAAATATTTGAGGGTAGGCAAGGCCTTATGATACATTTGTATCACATCTATTACCTCTATTAATGGGGGCCTCCCTGACAAGAAGGGAATCTCCCACCAGATTGTATCTCCAGCTCCTTTTAGGGTGAGCTGAAGTTATAGCCCTACGGAGAAAGGGAGACAAGGATCGAGTGGGAAACAAACTTGTAAGCCTCACCTCCTGGCCACTCAGAGACTCTAGAGCCCAGCTCTGTCTGCCATCTGCCTCTGATGCCATCAGCTCTCCCCGACCCCGCTGCCTTCAGCATATACCCCAACACACAAACCTTGTGTGTCCAGGCCCACAGGGAAGGAGACGGCAGAAAGGGTGAAGGCAGAAGCCAGTGGTGTACACACAGTGCTGTCAGAGTTCAGGACGAGGACAATGAGGTCAAAGGCTGCAGGAGTCTTGGAGGTGGGACATAACCAAGCTCCCAAGAAGAGTAAGATGCATGCAGACCACTCAGGGCACAGGGCTAGAATGGCTGACTTCTCTTTTTTTTTTTTTTTTTTTTTTTTTTTAAAACCACTCGGTTTTGCCTCATAAATGCTTGTTTCATTTCAATCAAGTGTCAGCACCATTTTTTGAGTGACTTCTCTTGATTGAGACTTTATTTCCTGTTTTTATTTTCCAGCTCTTGAAAGCAGGGTGGAGGGAGATGTGCAGGTGAGGAGGTGACATCCCCACATTGGGGAAACTAATTATAGAGCTGTAGGTCACCTTTGCTTTCTGCCTTTACCCAGAAAAAAGGAGAGAGATGAGATCAGTATACCCGGGGCGGGAGAAGACACGGCTGAGGATGATATTAGAAAGGTAGGAGGAGACAGGTTCAAGTAGGTGTGGGGAGGCTGGAGCAGGAATTTTGGCAGGGGAAAGCAGAGCAGGCCTGGACTAGGGAGAAGGAAGGATGGAGAAAGAACATGATGACCCCCTGGGGCCTGTGCCAGACGGGCACCTCTCCTTGGGAAGAACATGGTCCCTGGGGCAGGAGGAGGCCGATCGCTCACCCTGGTGACCTCTTACACTCTCCACGCCACAGAGCTCTCAGACCCAGGACAAGCTGATGAGCAGAACTCATCTGAGTCCCCAAAGCAGCTCTGAGACAGAGCTTTTTACAAAGCCTTTAGACCACATTAAGGTTTTGCTGGAGGCTTAGCACAGTTTGGATCCGTTTGGGGAGTCTGAATATACAAATATTGAGAGGTCTTTATTTTTTTTATTCTTTAAAAAAAATTTTTTTTTAAATTACAGTTGACATTCAATATTATTTTATATTAGTTTCAGGTTCAAGAGGTCTTTATAAATAAGCTCGTCTGTGTGTACAGGGTGCATCCTCCCAATCGCTGCCTGAGCACAGCAGCAGAGGAAATGGGCTTAGCTAACAAGGCAGATTAGAGGGCACCCAGTGTATGGGTGGGACACACTGAACTGGCCACGATTCCAGAATTTAAAATGAGATTGGGGCTATTCTAGAGCTGATCGTCTGGGGCAAGGGGAGTGGGGAGATCTGTGATTCCTTCTTTTCAAACTTCTAAAGAATGTGAATTACTAAAAAGAGGAGTCAGAGAGAAAACAAAGCATTTGGTGAATATGTGGAAGGGACAAGGGAGGAAGTGCCTGGAGAGGGTGGCAGACAGAAAAGTTGGACAAAGAGGAGGTATTTCTCTCCCCTCTCTGCCCCCAACATTGTCCCAAATTGCCTGTTCCTTTGTCTTCAGCTCCTGTCTGCACTGTTGGTCAGATGCCAGAAGTGTGGATACCGCGGGTAGGTTGTATGGAAGGGTGAGAGGGAATGATCATGATCGAGCCTCCCCTCCCCACTTTTATTCTCTCATTCTCACTTCCTGCCTATGGCAGAAAATAGCTCTGTCCCTCTAGCTTATCTCAGCAAAGAGTGGTGCCCAGCCCAGCTCAGAGGGCAATGAGACAGGTCTGAGAGGCCCTTAAGACAAAAGGAAGCTGGGCCTGAATGTGCACGTGGGAGGCTGACGGACAGAGACGCAGGCAGGAGCAAGGTGGCTGCACATGCTCTGGTGTGTGAGTGGTGTGGTGGGCGGATGATGTGGGATGGCGCAGTCCCCAGGGCCGCCTCATGTTTGCCCCTCAGTGCCTTGGGGCTGGGATCTGTTTGTGCACATCAGCATGAATATGGGCTCTTGAAGCTGTCTGGCCATGCCTGTCTGTGTAAGACCATGGTCCCCTAAGGCAGAGGCTATGTCTGACCTTCCTCCAGGGGCTGGTCGTCCGTGCCTCCATGCATACACATACTTGTGTGTTACAGAGTATGTAGAGACATTCATTGCTAGGGATCTGCTAGGGATATTACTAGGGATCTTGTGTGTAAATCTCAGTGCACTTATACTGCTCTGTGTCCTGGCACGGGTACATGCGTGTGGCAGTATGCTTATGTTACCACATCCACATGTGTTGAGGTGACTGAGCCTATGTGGGCCTCCATATCATGTTTCTTCTTCTCCTTGGTGAAATGAAACCCTAGTGGCTGTCCTTTTCTGGGGTAGCTGCTGTTTCCTTACTTCTTATATTTCCCCCATAACCTGACCTCTTCCTCCAGGCAGGATTGGAGAAAGGGCAGGGCTGCCCCTTCCTCACATCTAGAACCCTCCTTCCATTTCCTGTTTGCCTCCTTTTTGGCAGTTTTCTCATCTTTGCCATCTGGCCTGGCACTGCGCCTGTTCAGCTCCACTGACGGAAGCTCCAGGGAAGCAGGCGGATGGGGTGGGGACCAGGGCAGGGGCTTGTCAGCTCTCAACTCTCAGCTCGGGCCATTCTATGTGAGTCTGTCAGAAAAGGGTGTTTATATCATCATCATTTTTTTAAATCTCAGCTATTATATCTTTAAATGTTAATATTTTCTTCTTTTTCTCCTTGTAATCCAAGTGCAATTGCAGTGATTTTTTTTTTTTTTTTTAATATATAAATAGGTTCCACTATAGAGAAACCCAAGGACTTTTTCTTTTGGAATGAGAATAGCATTGCCATCTGCTTTACTAAAGGATTCTTAACTTTAAGTAGCAGCTTACCTAATACATTTTTGTCTGTTTAACATTGTAACTGTTGACAGAAAGACTTGGAATTCTTGGAAAATAATTATTTATTCACCGATTCAGTGTCTAGTATGTGCCTCCCAGTTATAAGGAGCTATTGATTTTCCGAGCAATGGTTAAGAATGATAAAGTTTTACTGTAAGTATGATGTAAACTGTTATTGAAATTTTAATATAAGCTGTTTCCAAACACACCTTTTAAGGGACATGGTCTTTTACTAAGTGAGTTATACAGGTGGATAAGATAGTCAGGAGTGGGTAATTAGTGGTTAGTTGCCTGGATTGATACAAGAGATACTGTAACGAATTATAGTATGGGTAAACATGGGGGGAGGGGCCAATATCCTGCCAGGCAGCCAATGACTACCACAAGGGCCTGCTAAGTAGAGAGACTGAAATGTGAGCAAGCTTCGGAAGAAAAGTCCTAGGTCCCAACCCAGGACTTTATCATCTAGCTGGAGGAAATGAACAGACATAAAACAACCAGAGGAATTCAAAGTAGCAAGCTAAGTGCTTAAGCAGGTAAGGGAAAATAGTAAGGAGGGGCATATTTGTATGTGCAGAAGAGATGAGCCTGTGTTATCGGTGTTTGCTGTGGGAGAAGGAAGGAAGTGGGTTATAAAGTATATATATCAATTGGACAAATGAGGAAGTAAAACAATTTATCTGTGGGCACAGGTTTCATACAGGCAGATCTAAAAGACCAGGTGCTCTGTATACCATGCATCCTCAACTCCAACCATCCACTCTTGATGGAAGCAGCACTGGACGACTTGGACTTTGGAGCTGGGCAGTCCTGGGTGTAAATCATGACTTCGCTCCTCACCAGCTGAGCTCTTGAGCTTCTGTTTGCTTTCCTGTGAAAATGAGAATAAACACTGACCTCAAGGGGATGTTGGATTAGAGATTATGCATGTAAAATACCCTGGGATATGGTGAATGATCAGTAAATGACAGCTATTTCACTCAACATTTATTGACAAAGGTGCTGGGGATGCAAAGATGAATAAGTCACAGTCCACAGCCTCTCCCTCAAGGAGCTCACAGTTCAGTGGGAGATACAGACTAAGAACAGCTAATTACAGTACAGTTGGGAACAGCTATGAAAACTGTTCTGCTATATCTCTTACAAGTCTTAAACTGCTGGTAGCTGTGGTTAGAGGGAAAACAAACGAACAAAAACCCCGAAAGAAAACTTCTTATACTCAAGTTTACAACTTGGTCCCATGTAAGAATTTAAGCAGTTCCTTTTGAAAGAAATAACTACAGAATCTTAGGATAACTGCTCAAGGTCTCTGGACAGTTTCTCTCCCTAAAGATGGCACATGGACGCTCATCTCCCTAAAGATGGCACATGGACGCTCATGCTATTGTAAACAGCATTATTTACAATAGCCAAAAGGTGGAAAAACTCATGTAACCATTGACAGATAAATGTATAATCAAAATGTGGTAAATACACACACACACACACACACACACACACACACACACACACAATGGAATATATTATTCAGCTATAAAAAAAAAATGCAATTCTGATACATATACATGGATGGACCTCAAAAACCTTATTGTAAGTAAAATAAACCAGACAGGAAAGGACAGTTATTATATGACTCCACTCATATGAGGTATCTGGAATAGGCAAAGACATAGAGACAGAAAGTAGAATAGAGGTTACTGGCAGCTGGAGGGCAGGGGTGGTGGTGAAGGTGGAATGGGCAGTTATTGTTTAATGAGTACAGAGTTGTTTGGGATAGTGAAAAAGTTCTGGAAGTAGTGGTGATAGTTACATAACATTGTGAATGTACTTAATGCCACTGAATTGTACACTTAAAGATGGTTAAAATGGGCCCTGACGCTTCAGGAGCCGTGGGCTTCGGTGCAGACATGGCCAAGTCCAAGAACCAGGCCACGCACAACCAGTCCTGAAAATGGCACAAAAATGGCATCAAGAAACCCAAATCACAAAGATATGAATCTCTCAAGGGCATGGACACCAAGTTCCCGAGGAACATGTGCTTTGCCAAGAAGCATAACAAGAAAGGGCTGAAGAAGATGCAAGCCAGCAACCCCAATGCCATGAGTGCACGTGCGGAGGCTATCAAGGCTCTCAGAAAGCCCAAAGAGGTCAAGTCCAAGATCCCAAAGGGCGGCAGCCACAAGCTCAGTCGACTTGCCTACATCATTCACCCCAAGCTTGGGAAATGTGCTCGCGCCCATATTGCCAAGTGTCTCAGGCTCTGCTGGCTGAAGTCCAAGGCCAAGGCTCAAACCGAGGTCCAAGCAGCTCCGCCTCCAGCTCAGGCTCAGGCTCTGGCTCCCAAAGGTGCCCAGCCCCCCACGAAGGCTCCAGAGTAGAAGCCTCTGTCTGCTGATGTGAGGATGGAAGGACTGGTGTGACCCCTGGGCTGCCGTCTGCTTTGGGCTGGTGTCCTATGCTATTTGTACAAATAAATCTGAGGCAGAATAAAAAAAAAAGATGGTTAAATGGTAAATATTAAGTTATGTCTATTTTACCACACACACAATAGATGGCATCTGGGTAGCTTCTGTGGCCTTGCGAGATTAAGGAAAGTGGGATCCTCTGGCTTCTCTACCTCTTAGCCTTGGTCTGCCAGCTGTTGCCTGAGGACTGCAGCTGCTGTGGTCTGCTCTCTCCACCAGACTCATCAGCACCTGTGGTACTACCTCACCTCACTGCCCTGCTCCTTGGGCTTAGGGTCCCTTTTGAGCCCTCACTATCAAACCACCATCTCTCCCCTATCATAGAACCCCATCTGGGAAGCTCTCTAGTCAGCCCCTCCAGGAGAGCCCCTGGAAAAGCTCAACTCACAAGGCCTTACTCTGCCTAGCAGGACTGTGGTTGTGTGCAAACAGCCTATGAGAGCCCTGTTATATTATTATCCCCATGTTACAGATGAAGAAACAGAAAGAGAGGTCAAATAAGCAAGCTAACCAGGGTGCTCTGAGCACAAACCCAGCCCACACAGGAGCAACAGTGGATGTAATGAGGCTGGGATTTTGTACTGTACTTGGGATCTTGAACTTTATTCTTTAAATAATGGAGAGCCAGCACAGCACCTGTTCCGGGGAGGTGCTCCATAGTACTGGTCACTACCTGACATAATACCTGTTTGATTGCACTTTATTACCTGTTTCCCTCCAAAGGAATGAAAGTAGGTGAGGGCAAGGCCTTTGTTTTGTTCACTACTGTGAAAATGCCTGGAACATTCTAAAGGCTCAGTGAGTATTTGTAGAAGAAAGGGAGAGAAATTATTAGATAACAATAGCATAAACACTTTATGTATATCATCTCACCTGACATAATACCTGTTTGATTGCACTTTATTACCTGTTTCCCTCCAAAGGAATGAAAGTAGGTGAGGGCAAGGCCTTTGTTTTGTTCACTACTGTGAAAATGCCTGGAACATTCTAAAGGCTCAGTGAGTATTTGTAGAAGAAAGGGAGAGAAATTATTAGATAACAATAGCATAAACACTTTATGTATATCATCTCACTCAATCTAACAGCCTCATAAATTAAGGAATCTTCCCTCCCCCCCCGCCC